GTGTCACTCCCACTCCAACCAGCAGGTGTCACTCCCACTCCAACCAGCAGGTGTCACTCCCACTCCAACCAGCAGGTGTCACTCCCACTCCAACCAGCAGGTGTCACTCCCACTCCAACCAGCAGGTGTCACTCCCACTCCAACCAGCAGGTGTCACTCCCACTCCAACCAGCAGGTGTCACTCCCACTCCAACCAGCAGGTGTCACTCCCACTCCAACCAGCAGGTGTCACTCCCACTCCAACCAGCAGGTGTCACTCCCACTCCAACCAGCAGGTGTCACTCCCACTCCAACCAGCAGGTGCGCCACTCCCACTCCAACCAGCAGGTGTCACTCCCACTCCAACCAGCAGGTGTCACTCCCACTCCAACCAGCAGGTGTCACTCCCACTCCAACCAGCAGGTGTCACTCCCACTCCAACCAGCAGGTGTCACTCCCACTCCAACCAGCAGGTGTCACTCCCACTCCAACCAGCAGGTGTCACTCCCACTCCAACCAGCAGGTGTCACTCCCACTCCAACCAGCAGGTGTCACTCCCACTCCAACCAGCAGGTGTCACTCCCACTCCAACCAGCAGGTGTCACTCCCACTGCCTCTTCTGCTGCGAACTCGCTCGTTGCTGCTCTCCACTGCCTCACCTCTTCTCCCTGCTCCCTCCTGCTCTCCCCCTTGCTCACTTCCCTGCTCTCCTCCCTGCTCCTTGCCGTACTCGTCTCTACACATCCGCCCTCACCACCCACCCCCCTGCGAGCGGAGCGCAGCTGTGCCGGCAGCTGTACTACGCGGGGCGCATAGCGGCGGTGCAGCTGGAGTACAGCGCGGCCAAGGACTGTCTGCAGCAGGCGGCGCGCAAGGCACCGGCGGCGGCGCTGGGGTTCCGCACCGAGTGCACGCGGTGGCACGTGCTGGTGCGGCTGCTGCTGGGGGAGATCCCCGAGCGCCACCTCTTTGTGGCGCCCGGCATGCGCTCAGCGCTGCTGCCCTTCTTCCAACTCACCAATGTGAGCCGCCGCACTTGCGTACACAGCAATAGCAGCTGACTTTGCCGCTTGATTCGCCATTCCCATTGCATGCTTCAACTCCATTCCCATTGCATGCTTCAACTCCATTCCCATTGCATGCTTCAACTCCATTCCCATTGCATGCTTCAACTCCATTCCCATTGCATGCTTCAACTCCATTCCCATTGCATGCTTCAACTCCATTCCCATTGCATGCTTCAACTCCATTCCCATTGCATGCTTCAACTCCATTCCCATTGCATGCTTCAACTTCATTCCCATTGCATGCTTCAACTCCATTCCCATTGCATGCTTCAACTCCATTCCCATTGCATGCTTCAACTCCATTCCCATTGCATGCTTCAACTCCATTCCCATTGCATGCTTCAACTCCATTCCCATTGCATGCTTCAACTCCATTCCCATTGCATGCTTCAACTCCATTCCCATTGCATGCTTCAACTCCATTCCCATTGCATGCTTCAACTCCTCCCTGCATGCCCACACACCCACTTCATGTCGAGACAACCTTATCACGAGGCCTCGTCCCCCTCCGCCTGCCGTCCCTCCCCCCTCCCCCCCGGCCCCGCGTGCCCCCTCGTGGCAGGCGGTGCGGGTGGGCGATCTGCAGCTGTTCCACGTGGCGGCCACGCAGCACGCGGCGGTGTTTGCTTTGGGGCACATGCAGAAGCTGATCGTGCGGCTGCGCCACAACGTGATCCGCACGGCGCTGCGCCGCATCTCTCTGGCCTACTCGCGCATCTCCCTCGCTGACATCGCCCTCAAGCTCCACCTTCCCCCGCCCACCGCCGTTGCTGACGCCGAGTGCATCGTGGCCAAGGTAGGCGGGGTGTGGTGCAGTGGCCAAGGTAGGCGGGGCGTGGTGCAGTGACTTGGTGCGACCATCACAGCTTGGTGTGTATGCGATATTCAGTTGAAAGCAGTGACGCATGTTGATGCAATGTGTTATCAGTGAGGCGTGTTGATGTTATGTGTTATCAGTGAGGCGTGTTGATGTTATGTGTTATCAGTGAGGCATGGGATTGGGAAATAATGATGCGGCTCTCTACCTCTGCCCCTCATGCTTCATTCACTTGCCTGTTCCGTTGCGTATGTGGGGCGGGGTGGCATGTTGGTGGTGGGTGAGTGGTTGGAGTGAGTGGCAGGCGATTCGGGACGGGGGCATAGAGGCGGTGATAGAGCGGCGGCAGGGGTGCATGGTGAGCAAGGAGGGCGGCGATGTGTACACCACGCTCGACCCACAGGCCGCCTTCCACACACGCATCGCCTACTGCCTCAACCTGCACAACGAAGCAGTCAAGGTCAGTCAACCGCGGTCATTGTGAGTCATTTGTCAAGGACAGTCCATGTCAGTGAATTGCTGTCAAATCTCAGTTAGCAGAAGCAGTCAGATTGATTAACAGAAGCCAGAGTCAAGTTCAGGTTTAGTGAACAACCGCCAGAATAAGTCAACCGCAGCCAGGGTCGCACAACAGAAATGGAGGTCAGTGAGGAGCAGTGAAGGCAGAGATGAGGTAGCAGTGGGCAGAGATAAGGTAGCAGTGAATGAGCAATACACGTGCAGGTGCATGATATGAATTGTGACTGCCCATGTTGCCATTCACACTCCCCTTGGCCGTCCTCCAGGCCATGCAATTTCCTCCCAGCACTCGTAAGGGCGAGGTGGATGCAGAGGAGAAGAGGAGAGAGAGGCAGCTGGCGGAGCAAGAGTTGGCGCAGCACATTGCGGAGGAGGGAGACGACGACTTCTGACACCACACATGCTGCATTTACATTCTGAACACCTTTCTCAGTAGAACGCCGTTCAGTGTCAGGTAGCTGTACCTTATAGAGTTCATGCACACTTGCAAGGTTTTTTCAACCACCAGTCTCGAGTAGTCTCTCAAGTGTTGGTCAGCAATCGTCAATCACGTCACGTGTGAAAACTCTCGTGGCCCAAATTGCAGACCGTGCGGGGCATCATTATGGCACCGTATTCACCCGGATATACCCCCAGGTGGGGGTGTAAAAAAACATGGAAAAATGGTGGGTGGGCTTATAATGTGGTAAATTTTATAACCCCATGGGCTAAAGAAATGACACTTATGGAAATTTAATTTTATAACACTGGAATGTGGATTTCACCCTGGCGATTTAAATCGATGCTAACACAAAGAGGTTCCATGCTGAAAAGTTCCGAGAATGTGTCGTACAGTCAAGAATCCCAGTCAGCACCAGTCAAATGTTGCAGATTTCGCGCACGTGCACCTCCTGTGGAAATTTTGCCAAGCGAGCCAGGGGGGAATTCGTCATGCACGTCTGTGACGATTCGTTTAGGTGCGTTAGTGGCGATTTCGCTAAAAAAAAAAAGCAGAATTCATTGGGTGCGCTTATACAAAGATTGACAGAAATTGGGGTGGGCTTATAATCGGCAACTGGCTATAAGCCCACTAGTACGATTATAACCGCATGGGTGTAACATAGGCCTGGGGGTATATCCGGGTGATGACGGTACTATTCTTGCAAACTTGGGCTTATTTTTTCTGATGAATCTGTCAGAATAGTGAGCTAGAATGAATGCATTGAACAGAGGAGTGGGTACAAATGCTAACCCTAATTTGGGTTGTACCCCCTATAAGCTAACCCATTACAGCCTACACAGCACAAGCATTATTATACCGGTAGTTTGACAGTACCGTATGGCCCCGGATATAAGCGCAGGCCTATTATAAGCGCATGCGCTTGTATCTGGAGCAATGCGCTTATGGCCGATCCTCATTTATAAGCGCACCCCCTGTAAAACCTTGATTTATTATAAGCGCACGTATAATTCTAAAATTTAAACCAGATTAAAAAGGTAGCGATTTCAAATTTTGCAGTGAGGATACAACTATTTTCGCTTCGATTGACTTTCGAGGACCTCACATACTGCGCGTCCAGTCAGTATGAGCTGGCATTTCTGATAGTGACCTGTAAATTTTCCTCTGTGCGCCGGCAGAAAATCGCTCACGCGCGAATCTGAATTGCGACTCGCTACCACTTCGATTCGATTGAAATCACAAGAAGGATATGTACAGTTTGGTGCCAATGAATTATAAATTTGCATTTGTTATTTTATAAGCGCATGCGCTTATAAATCTGACTCAATTATAAGCGCACCCCCCCAAAAAACACTGTTTTATTATAAGCGCAGGTGCGCTTCTATCCGGGGTATTACGGGTATCGTGGCGAAGTTCAGCTTACGGTAGGTGCTCTGATTGGTGGAGGCATTCCTGGATCCCTATAGGCATATGAAAAAGCTTCGAACGACCTGAATGTTGTTGTATATTCGAGTGACCCATGCTCAAATACACATACCAGAGCATTTCCAGCTCGGTTCGTGCTTACCAAAAGTTTGGCGCTTGCAATGACGGCTGTGCCTGCCGACAAATGCTAAGGAAGCGCGTGGATCACTATAGGCGTAGGGAAAACCATCGAACAACCTGAACGTTCGGGTGGCCCATGCTCAAATACACATACCTGAGCACTTTTAGCTTGGTTCGCGCGCACAGAAAAGTTCGGCGCCTGCGATGACGGCTGTGTCTGCCGACAAATGCCAAGGAAACACATGCATCCCTATAGGCGCAGGGTAGGGAAAAACATCAAACGACCTTAACGTTGTTGCATATTCGGGTGGCCCACGCTCAAACACACCTACCAGAACACTTTATGCTTGGTTCGCGCGCACAGAAAGTTCCGCGCCTGCGATGGCGGCTGTGTCCGTCGACAAATGCTAAGGAACTGTCGAAGATAGTAGGCAGAAATTTAGAACACGAAAGAGGGTTTGCACTAGCAGGCAATTGAGTACATATAGGAAACCTAAATTGGGCTATACTTGCTATAGAGTACCCCACTGCAGGCTAGACAAATACAACGTTCTGACACACCCCCATAGCCAAAGTGGGGTGTAATCAGCACAATAAGCAGGCAGAGCAATAGTTGACAATGATAAGCAAAGCTTTAGGCTATCACAGAGGGCAAGTGAGGAGGAGGAGAGACTGTGGGGGCGAGAAGATGGGAGGCGACGGCTGAAGCTGCAGACACACTGTAGCGGCTGGTTCACTGGCTACCGAAGCAAAGGCCCGGAATTCAGGAGTAACTGGCTCCGCGGCTACACCGAGCGGCTGGAGCAACTGACCCACGGGCGACTGGCCACTATCGGAGATTGTAGCCTACGGACTACTGGCGCTGCGGACGACAAGACGGCTACCTCCACTCAATCTCCTCCAGTTGTCCCACACCCCTTTCACACACCCCCTGCTGTTCCCGTAGCACTGCTCACACTTCACCCCCCTAGTACCCCTCCGACTGCTCCCACACATCCATCCCCTTCAGTGGCAGCAGCAGCAGTGGGAGACGGAGGAGGAGGAGGAGGAGCAGGGGAGGCCTCACACACTGTCACCCCCATACTCACCACCCCCAAACCCTAAGACAGGCAGTACGGGGCGGGAGCGGGTGCACGCACGGCAAGGCAGGTGCGTGCGGGCCTCGAGCAGGCTAAACGGGCCGCGCATGGGCCTGGCGCAGGCCGTACGAGCCGCGCGAGGGCTATACGGGTCGCGCGCGGGCCTGGCGCAGGTCGTACGGGCCGCGCGCGGGCTGTACGGGCCGCGCGCAGGCCTGGCGCAAGCTGTACGGGCCGCGGGCGAGCTGTACGGGCCGCGCGCGGGCCTGTCGCAAGTCGTACGGGCCGCGCGCGGGGCCCAGGGGTGCTTCGACGGGCGACGGGGGGCGACGCGCAGGTCCCCGGGGGTGCTTCGACGGGCGACCGGGGGCGACGCGCGGGTCGACGGGGCAGGAAACCGCTGCGAGCCTCAGGGCGCACGGCGGGCAGAAAACCGCCGCGCGCCCTGAGCGCTCGGCGAGCAGAAAACTGCCAGGCGCCCGGAGCGCGTGGCGGGAAGAAAAAAAGCGTCGCGCCCCGTGGCGCGCGACAGACATGACAGCAGCGGAAGCTAACGGTGGGCCCACAGGCCAGGAGCGAAACCGCTCTGATAGCATGTCGAAGATAGTAGGAAACAAATTAGAACACGAAAGAGGGTTTGCACTAGCAGGCAGTTGAGTACATATAGGAAACCCTAAATTGGGCTGTACTAGCTATAGACAGATACAACATTCTGACAGGAACCGCATGCATCCCTATAGACGTAGGGAAAAGCATCGAACGACCTGAACGTTATTGCATATTTGGGCGGCCCATGCTCAAATACACCTACCAGAGCACTTTGGGCCTGGTTCGCGCGTACAAAAAAGTCCGGCGCCTGCAATGATGCCTCTGTCTGCCGACAAATGCTAAGGAAGCTCATGCATCCATTTAGGCATAGAGAAAAGCATCGAACGACCTGAACCTTGTTGCATATTCAGGTGGCCCATGCTCAAATACACCTACTGGATCACTTTGGGCTTGGTACGAGCGCACATAAAAGTTCGGCGTCTGCAATGACGGCTGTGTCTGCCGACAAATGCTAAGAAAGCGCATGCATTCCTATAGGCGTAGGGAAAAGCATCAAACGACCTGAACATTGTTGCATATTTGGGTAACCCATGCATACATACACCTACCAGAGCACTTTTGGCTTGGTTTGCAGGGAGAATGGGGCGGGGTGATGGAAAGCGGGAGAATGGGGCGGGGTGATGGAAAGCGGGAGAATGGGGCGGGGTGATGGAAAGCGGAAGAATGGGGCGGGGTGCTGGAAAGCGGGAGAATGGGGCGAGGTGATGGAAGAAGGGAGAATGGGGCGGAGTGATGGAAAGCGGGAGAATGGGGCGGGGTGATGGAAAGGGGGAGAATGGGGCAGGGTGATGGAAAACGGGAGAAAGGGGCAGGGTGATGGAAAGCGAGAGAATGGGGCGGGGTGATAAAAAGCGGGAGAATGGGGCGAGTTGATGGAAAGCGGGAGAATGGAGCGGGGTGATGGAAAGCAGGAGAAAGGGGCGGGGTGATTGAAAGCAGGAGAATGGGGTAGGGTGATGGAAAGCGGGAGAATGGGGCAGGATGATGGAAAGCGGGAGAATGGGGCGGGGTGATGGAAAGCGGGAGAATGGGGTGGGGTGATGGAAAGCGGGAGAATGGGGCGGGGTGATTGAAAGCGGGAGAATGGGGCGAGTTGATGGAAAGCGGGAGAATGGAGCAAGGTGATGGAAAGCGGGAGAATGGGGCGGGGTGATGGAAAGCAGGAGAATGGGGCAGGATGATGGAAAGCGGGAGAATGGGGCGGGGTGATGGAAGGAGGGAGAATGGGGCGGGGTGATGGAAAGCGGGAGAATGGGGCGGGGTGATAAAAAGCGGGAGAATGGGGCGGGGTGAAGGAAGGAGGGAGAATGGGGCGGGGTGATGGAAAGCGGGAGAATGGGGCGGGGTGATGGAAAGCGGGAGCATGGGGCGGGGTGATGGAAAGCAGGAGAATGGGGCGGGGTGATGGAAAGCGGGAGAATGGGGCGGGGTGATGGAAAGCAGGAGAATGGGGCGGGGTGATGGAAAGCGGGAGAATGGAGCGGGGTGATGGAAAGCGGGAGAATGGGACGGGGTGATTGAAAGCGGGAGAATGGGGCGGGGTGATGGAAAGCGGGAGAATGGGGCGGGGTGATGGAAGGAGGGAGAATGGGGCGGGGTGATGGAAAGCGGGAGAATGGGGCGGGGTGATGGAAAGCGGGAGAATGGGGCGGGGTGATGGAAAACGGGAGAATGGGGCGGGGTGATGGAAAGCGGGAGAATGGGGCGAGTTGATGGAAAGCGGGAGAATGGAGCGGGGTGATGGAAAGCGGGAGAATGGGGCAGGGTGATTGAAAGCAGGAGAATGGGGCAGGGTGATGGAAAGCGGGAGAATGGGGCGGGGTGATGGAAAGCGGGAGAATGGGATGGGGTGATGGAAAGCGGGAGAATGGGGCAGGGTGATGGAAAGCGGGAGAATGGGGCGGGGTGATGGAAAGCGGGAGAATGGGGCCGGGTGATTGAAAGCGGGAGAATGGGGCGAGTTGATGGAAAGCGGGAGAATGGGGCGGGGTGATGGAAAGCGGGAGAATGGGGCGGGGTGATGGAAAGCGGGAGAATGGGATGGGGTGATGGAAAGCGGGAGAATGGGGCAGGGTGATGGAAAGCGGGAGAATGGGGCGGGGTGATGGAAGGTGGGAGAATGGGGCGGGGTGATGGAAAGCGGGAGAATGAGGTGAGTTGATGGAAAGCGGGAGAATGGAGCGGGGTGATGGAAAGCAGGAGAATGGGGTGAGTTGATGGAAAGCGGGAGAATGGAGCGGGGTGATCGAAAGCGAGAGAATGGGGCGGGGTGATTGAAAGCGGGAGAATGGGGCGGGGTGATGGAATGCGGGAGAATGGGGCGGGGTGATGGAAGGAGGGAGAATGGGGCGGGGTGATGGAAAGCGGGAGAATGGGGCGGGGTGATGGAAAGCGGGAGAATGGGGCGGGGTGATGGAAAACGGGAGAATGGGGCGGGGTGATGGAAAGCGGGAGAATGGGGCGAGTTGATGGAAAGCGGGAGAATGGAGCGGGGTGATGGAAAGCGGGAGAATGGGGCGGGGTGATGGAAAGCGGGAGAATGGGGCGGGATAATGGAAAGCGGGAGAATGGGGCGGGGTGATGGAAAGCAGGAGAATGGGGCGGGGTGATGGAAAGCGGGAGAATGGGGCGGGGTGATGGAAAGCGGGAGAATGGGGCGGGGTGATGGAAAGCAGGAGAATGGGGCAGGGTGATGGAAAGCGGGAGAATGGAGCGGGGTGATGGAAAGCGGGAGAATGGGGCGGGGTGATGGAAGGAGGGATAATGGGGCAGGGTGATGGAAAGCGGGAGAATGGGGCGGGGTGATGGAAAGCGGGAGAATGGGGCGGGGTGAAGGAAGAAGGGAGAATGGGGCGGGGTGAAGGAAAGCGGGAGAATGGGGCGGGGTGATGGAAAGCGAGAGAAGGGGGCGGGGTGGTGGAAAGCGGGAGAATGGGGTGGGGTGATGGAAAGCGGGAGAATGGGGCGGGGAGATAGAAAGCGAGAGAATTGGGCGGGGTGATGGAAAGCGGGAGAACGGGGCGGGGTGATGGAAAGCACGAGAATGGGGCGAGGTGATGGAAAGCGGGAGAATGGGGCGGGGTGATGGAAAACGGGAGGATAGGGCGGGGTGATTGAAAGCGGTAGAATGGGGCGGGGTGATGGAAAGCGGGAGAATGGGGAAGGATAACGGAAAGTGGGAGAATGGGGCGGGGTGATGGAAGGAGGGAGAATGGGGCGGGGTGATGGAAGGAGGGAGAATAGGGCGGGGTGATGGAAAGCGGGAGAATGGGGCGGGGTGATGGAAAGCGGGAGAATGGGGCGGGGTGATGGAAAGCGGGAGAATGGGGCGGGGTGATGGAAAGCAGGAGAATGGGGCGGGGTAATTGAAAGCGGGAGAATGGGGCGGGGTGATGGAAAGCGGGAGAATGGGGCGAGTTGATGGAAAGCGGGAGAATGGAGCGGGGTGATGGAAAGCGGGAGAATGGGGCGAGTTGATGGAAAGCGGGAGAATGGAGCGGGGTGATGTAAAGCGGGAGAATGGGGCGGGGTGATGGAAAGCGGGAGAATTGGGTGGGGTGATGGAAAGCGGGAGAATGGGGCAGGGTGATGGAAAGCGGGAGGATGGGGCGGGGTGATGGAAAGCGGGAGAATGGGGCGAGTTGATGGAAAGCGGGAGAATGGGGCGGGGTAATTGAAAGCGGGAGAATGGGGCGGGGTGATGGAAAGCGGGAGAATGGGGCAGGATGATGGAAAGCGGGAGAATGGGGCGGGGTAATTGAAAGCGGGAGAATGGGGCGGGGTGATGGAAAGCGGGAGAATGGGGCAGGATGATGGAAAGCGGGAGAATGGGGCAGGGTGATGGAAGGAGGGAGAATGGGGCGGGGTGATGGAAAGCGGGAGAATGGGGCGGGGTGATGGAAAGCGGGAGAATGGGGCGGGGTGATGGAAAGCGAGAGAATGGGGCGGGGTGATGGAAAACGGGAGAACACGGCAGGGTGATGGAAAGTGGGGGAATGGGGAGGGGTGATGGAAGGAGGGAGAGTGGGGCGGGGTGATGGAAGGAGGGAGAATGGGGCGGGGTGATGGAAAGCGGGAGAATGGGGCGGGGTGATGGAAAGCGGGAGAATGGGGCGGGGTGATGGAAAGCGGGAGAATGGGGCGGGGTGATGGAAAGCGGGAGAATGGGGCGGGGTGATGGAAAGCAGGAGAATGGGGCGGGGTGATGGAAAGCGGGAGAATGGGGCGAGTTGATGGAAAGCGGGAGAATGGAGCGGGGTGATTGAAAGCGGGAGAATGGGGCGGGATGATGGAAAGCGGGAGAATGGTGCAGGATGATGAAAAGCGGGAGAATGGGGCGGGGTGATGGAAAGCGGGAGAATGGGGCGGGGTGATTGAAAGCGGTAGAATGGGGCGGGATGATGGAAAGCGGGAGAATGGGGAAGGATGACGGAAAGCGGGAGAATGGGGCGGGGTGATGGAAGGAGGGAGAATGGGGCGGGGTGATGGAAGGAGGGAGAATGGGGCGAGGTGATGGAAAGCGGGAGAATGGGGCGGGGTGATGGAAAGTGGGAGAATGGGGCGGGGTGATGGAAAACGGGAGAATGGGGCGGGGTGATGGAAAGCGGGAGAATGGGGCGAGTTGATGGAAAGCGGGAGAATGGAGCGGGGTGATGGAAAGCGGGAGAATGGGGCGGGGTGATTGAAAGTGGGAGAATGGGGCTGGGTGATGGAAAGCGGGAGAATGGGGCAGGATGATGGAAAGCGGGAGAATGGGGCGGGGTGATGGCAAGCGGGAGAATGGGGTGGGGTGATGGAAAGCGGGAGAATGGGGTGGGGTGATGGAAAGCGGGAGAATGGGGCGGGGTGATGGAAAGCGGGAGAATGGGGCGAGTTGATGGAAAGCGGGAGAATGGGGCGGGGTGATGGAAAGCGGGAGAATGGGGCGGGGTGATTGAAAGCGGGAGAATGGGGCGGGGTGATGGAAAGCGGGAGAATGGGGCAGGATGATGGAAAGCGGGAGAGTGGGGCGGGGTGATGTAAGGAGGGAGAATGGGGCGGGGTGATGGAAAGCGGGAGAATGGGGCAGGGTGATGGAAAGCGGGAGAATGGGGCGGGGTGAAGGAAGGAGGGAGAATGGGGTGGGGTTATGGAAAGCGGGAGAATGGGGCGGGGTGGTGGAAAGCGGAAGAACGGGGAGGGGTGATGGAAAGCGGGAGAATGGGGCGGGGTGATGGAAAGCGAGAGAATGGGGCGGGGTGATTGAAAGCGGGAAAATGGGGCGGGGTGATGGAAAGCGGGAGAATGGGGCAGGATGATGGAAAGCGGGAGAGTGGGGCGGGGTGATGGAAGGAGGGAGAATGGGGCGGGGTGATGGAAAGCGGGAGAATGGGGCAGGGTGATGGAAAGCGGGAGAATGGGGCGGGGTGAAGGAAGGAGGGAGAATGGGGTGGGGTTATGGAAAGCGGGAGAATGGGGCGGGGTGGTGGAAAGCGGGAGAACGGGGAGGGGTGATGGAAAGCGGGAGAATGGGGCGGGGTGATGGAAAGCGGGAGAATGGGGCGGGGTGGTGGAAAGCGGGAGAACGGGGAGGGGTGATGGAAAGCGGGAGAATGGGGCGGGGTGATGGAAAGCGAGAGAATTGGGCGGGGTGATAGAAAGCGGGAGAATGGGGCGGGGTGATGGAAAGAGGGAGAATGGGGCGGGGTGATGGAAAGCGGGAGAAAGGGGCAGGGTGATGGAAAGCGGGAGAATGGGGCTGATGATGGAACACGGGAGAATGGGGCGGGGCGATGGAAAGAGGGAGAATGGGGCGGGGTGATGGAAGGAGGGAGAATGGGGCGAGGTGATGGAAAGAGAGAGAATGGGGCGGGGTAATGGAAAGAGGGAGAATGGGGCGGGGTGATGGAAAGCGGGAGAATGGGGCGCGGTGATGGAAAGCGGGAGAATGGGGCGGGATAATGGAAAGCGGGAGAATGGGGCGGGGTGATTGAAAGCGGGAGAATGGGGCGGGGTGATGGAAAGCGGGAGAATGGGGCAGAGCGGGAGAGTGGGGCGGGGTGATGGAAGGCGGGAGAATGGGGCGGGGTGGTGGAAAGCGGGAGAATGGGGAGGGGTGATGGAAAGCGGGAGAATGGGGCGGGGTGATGGAAAGCGAGAGAATTGGGCGGGGTGATGGAAAGAGGGAGAATGGGGCGGGGTGATGGAAAGCGGGAGAAAGCGGCAGGGTGATGGAAAGCGGGAGAAAGGGGCTGATGATGGAACACGGGAGAATGGGGCGGGATGATGGAAAGCGGGAGAATGGGGCGGGGTGATGGAAAGCGGGAGAATGGGGCAGGATGATGGAAAGCGGGAGAGTGGGGCGGGGTGCTGGAAAGCGGGAGAATGGGGCGGGGTGATGGAAATCGGGAGAATGGGCCAGGGTGATGTAAAGCGGGAGAATGGGGCGGGGTGAAGGAAGGAGGGAGAATGGGGTGGGGTGATGGAAAGCGGGAGAATGGGGCGGGGTGGTGGAAAGCGGGAGAACGGGGAGGGGTGATGGAAAGCGGGAGAATGGGGCGGGGTGATGGAAAGCGAGAGAATTGGGCGGGGTGATGGAAAGCGGGAGAAAGGTGCAGGGTGATGGAAAGCGGGAGAATGGGGCTGATGATGGAACACGGGAGAATGGGGCGGGATGATGGAAAGAGGGAGAATGGGGCGGGGTGATGGAAGGAGGGAGATCGGGGCGGGGTGATGGAAAGAGAGAGAATGGGGCGGGGTAATGGAAAGAGGGAGAATGGGGCGAGGTGATGGAAAGCGGGAGAATGGGGCGGGGTGATGGAAAGCGGGAGAATGGGGCGGGATAATGGAAAGCGGGAGAATGGGGCAGGATGATGGAAGAAGGGAGAATGGGGCAGGGTGATGGAGAGCGGGGGAATGGGGCAGCGTGATGGAAAGCGGGTGAATAGGGAGGGGTGATGGAAGGAGGGAGAATGGGGCGGTGTGATGGAAGGAGGGAGAATGGGGCGGGGTGATGGAAAGCGGGAGAATGGGGCGGGGTGATGAAAAGCGGGAGAATGGGGCGGGGTGATGGAAAGCGAGAGAATGGGGCGGGGTGATGGAAAGCGGGAGAATGGGGCGGGGTGATGGAAAGCGGGAGAATGGAGCGAGGTGATGGAAAGCGGGAGAATGGGGCGGGGTGATTGAAAGCGGGAGAATGGGGCATGATGATGGAAAGCGGGAGAATGGGGCTGGGTGATGGAAGAAGGGAGAATGGGGCGGGGTGATGGAAAGCGGGAGAATGGGGCGGGGTGATGGAAAGCGGGAGAATGGGGCGGGGTGATGGAAAGCGGGAGAATGGGGCAGGGTGATGGAAAGCGGGAGAATGGGGCGGGGTGATGGAAAGCGGGAGAATGGGGCGGGGTGATGGAAAGCGGGAGAATGGAGCGGGGTGATGGAAAGTCGGAGAAGGGGGCGGGGTGGTGGAAAGCAGGAGAATGGGGTGGGGTGATGGAAAGCGGGAGAATGGGGCGGGAGATAGAAAGCGAGAGAATTGGGCGGAGTGATGGAAAGCGGGAGAATGGGGCGGGGTGATGGAAAGCACGAGAATGGGGCGAGGTGATGGAAAGCGGGAGAATGGGGCGGGGTGATGGAAAACTGGAGGATAGGGCGGGGTGATTGAAAGCGGTAGAATGGGGCGGGGTGATGGAAAGCGGGAGAATGGGGAAGGATGACGGAAAGCGGGAGAATGGGGTGATGGAAGGAGGGAGAATGGGGCGGGGTGATGGAAGGAGGGAGAATGGGGCGAGGTGATGGAAAGCGGGAGAATGGGGCGGGGTGATGGAAAGCGGGAGAATGGGGCGGGGTGATGGAAAGCGGGAGAATGGGGCGGGGTGATGGAAAGCAGGAGAATGGGGCGGGGTGATGGAAAGCGGGAGAATGGGGCGAGTTGATGGAAAGCGGGAGAATGGAGCGGGTGATGGAAAGCGGGAGAATGGGGCGGGGTGATGGAAAGCGGGAGAATTGGGTGGGGTGATGGAAAGCGGGAGAATGGGGCGGGGTGATGGAAAGCAGGAGAATGGGGCGGGGTGAAGGAAACCGGGAGAATGGAGCAAGGTGATGGAAAGCGGGAGAATGGGGCGGGGTGATTGAAAGCGGGAGAATGGGGCGGGGTGATGGAAAGCGGGAGAATGGGGCAGGATGATGGAAAGCGGGAGAATGGGGCGGGGTGATGTTAGGAGGGACAATAGGGCGGGGTGATGGAAAGCGGGAGAATGGGGCGGGGTGATGGAAAGCGGGAGAATGGGGCGGGGTGATGGAAAGCGAGACAATGGGGCGGGGTGATGGAAAACGGGAGAATGGGGCGGGGTGATGGAAAGCGGGAGAACAGGGCGGGGTGATGGAAAGCGGGAGAATAGGGAGGGGTGATGGAAGGAGGGAGAGTGGGGCGTGGTGATGGAAAGCGGGAGAATGGGGCGGGGTGATGGAAAGCGGGAGAATGGAGCGAGGTGATTGAAAGCGGGAGAATGGGGCGGGGTGATGGAAAGCGGGAGAATGGGGCGGGGTGATTGAAAGCGGGAGAATGGGGCGGGGTGATGGAAAGCGGGAGAATGGGGCGGGGTGATGGAAAGCGGGAGAATGGGGCGGGGTGATGGAAAGCAGGAGAATGGGGCGGGGTGATGGAAAGCGGGAGAATGGGGCGGGGTGATGGAAAGCAGGAGAATGGGGCGGGGTGATAAAAAGCGGGAGAATGGGGCGAGTTGATGGAAAGCGGGAGAATGGAGCGGGGTGATTGAAAGCGGGAGAATGGGGCGGGGTGATGGAAAGCGGGAGAATGGGGCGGGGTGATTGAAAGCGGTAGAATGGGGCGGGGTGATGGAAAGCGGGAGAATGGGGAAGGATGACGGAAAGCGGGAGAATGGGGCGGGGTGATGGAAGGAGGGAGAATGGGGCAGGGTGATGGAAGGAGGGAGAATGGGGCGAGGTGATGGAAAGCGGGAGAAAGGGGCGGGGTGATGGAAAGTGGGAGAATGGGGCGGGGTGATGGAAAACGGGAGAATGGGGCGGGGTGATGGAAAGCGGGAGAATGGGGCGAGTTGATGGAATGCGGGAGAATAGGGAGGGGTGATGGAAGGAGGGAGAGTGGGGCGTGGTGATGGAAAGCGGGAGAATGGGGCGGGGTGATGGAAAGCGGGAGAATGGAGCGAGGTGATTGAAAGCGGGAGAATGGGGCGGGGTGATGGAAAGCGGGAGAATGGGGCGGGGTGATTGAAAGCGGGAGAATGGGGCGGGGTGATGGAAAGCGGGAGAATGGGGCGGGGTGATGGAAAGTGGGAGAATGGGGCGGGGTGATGGAAAACGGGAGAATGGGGCGGGGTGATGGAAAGCGGGAGAATGGGGCGAGTTGATGGAATGCGGGAGAATGGAGCGGGGTGATGGAAAGCGGGAGAATGGGGCGGGGTGATTGAAAGTGGGAGAATGGGGCTGGGTGATGGAAAGCGGGAGAATGGGGCGGGGTGATGGAAAGCGGGAGAATGGGGTGGGGTGATGGAAAGCGGGAGAATGGGGCAGGGTGATGGAAAGCGGGAGAATGGGGCGGGGTGATGGAAAGCGGGAGAATGGGGCAAGTTGATGGAAAGCGGGAGAATGGGGCGGGGTGATGGAAAGGGGGAGAATGGGGCGGGGTGATGGAAAGCGGGAAAATGGTGCGAGGTGATGGAAAACGGGAGAATGGGGCGGGGTGATGGAAAGCGGGAGAATGGGCCGAGTTGATGGAAAGCGGGAGAATGGAGCGGGGTGATGGAAAGCGGGAAAATGGGGCGGGGTGATTGAAAGCAGGAGAATGGGGCACGGTGATGGAAAGCGGGAGAATGGGGCAGGATGATGGAAAGCGGGAGAATGGGGCGGGGTGATGGAAAGCGGGAGAATGGGGCGAGTTGATGGAAAGCGAGAGAATGGAGCGGGGTGATTAAAAGTGGGAGAATGGGGCGGGGTGATGGAAAGCGGGAGAATGGGGCGGGGTGATTGAAAGTGGGAGAATGGGGCGGGGTGATGGAAAGCGGGAGAATGGGGCAGGATGATGGAAAGCGGGAGAGTGGGGCGGGGTGATGGAAGGAGGGAGAATGGGGCGGGGTGATGGAAAGCGGGAGAATGGGGCGGGGTGATGGAAAGCGGGAGAATGGGGCGGGGTGATGGAAAGCGAGAGAATGGGGCGGGGTGATTGAAAGCGGGAGAATGGGGCGGGGTGATGGAAAGCGGGAGAATGGGGCAGGATGATGGAAAGCGGGAGAGTGGGGCGGGGTGATGGAAGGAGGGAGAATGGGGCGGGGTGACGGAAAGCGGGAGATTGGGGCAGGGTGATGGAAAGCGGGAGAATGGGGCGGGGTGAAGGAAGGAGGGAGAATGGGGTGGGGTGATGGAAAGCGGGAGAACGGGGAGAGGTGATGGAAAGCGGGAGAATCGGGCGGGGTGGTGGAAAGCGGGAGAACGGGGCGGGGTGATGGAAAGCGAGAGAATTGGGCGGGGTGATAGAAAGCGGGAGAATGGGGCGGGGTGATGGAAAGAGGGAGAATGGGGCGGGGTGATGGAAAGAGGGAGAATGGGGCGGGGTGATGGAAAGAGAGAGAATGGGGCGGGGTAATGGAAAGAGGGAGAATGGGGCGGGGTGATGGAAAGCGGGAGAATGGGGCGGGGTGATGGAAAGTGGGAGAATGGGGCGGGATAATGGAAAGCGGGAGAATGGGGCGGGGTGATTGAAAGCGGGAGAATGGGGCGGGGTGATGGAAAGCGGGAGAATGGGGCAGGATGATGGAAAGCGGGAGAGTGGGGCGGGGTGATGGAAGGAGGGAGAATGGGGCGGGGTGATGGAAAGCGGGAGAATGGGGCGGGGGTGATGGAAAGCGGGAGAATGGGGCGGGGTGAAGGAAGGAGGGAGAATGGGTTGGGGTGATGGAAAGCGGGAGAATGGGGAGGGGTGATGGAAAGCGAGAGAAAGTGGCTGGGTGATGGAAAGCGGGAGAATGGGGCTGATGATGGAACACGGGAGAATGGGGCGGGATGATGGAAAGCGGGAGAATGGGGCGGGGTGATGGAAAGCAGGAGAATGGGGCAGGATGATGGAAAGCGGGAGAGTGGGGCGGGGTGCTGGAAAGCGGGAGAATGGGGCAGGGTGATGGAAAGTTGGAGAATGGGGCAGGGTGATGGAAAGCGGGAGAATGGGGCGGGGTGAAGGAAGGAGTGAGAATGGGGTGGGGTGATGGAAAGCGCGAGAATGGGGCGGGGTGGTGGAAAGCGGGAGAATGGGGTAGGGTGATGGAAAGCGGGAGAATGGGGCGGGGTGATGGAAAGCGAGAGAATTGGGCGGGATGATGGAAAGCGGGAGAATGGGGCGGGGTGATGGAATGCACGAGAATGGGGCGAGGTGATGGAAAGCGGGAGAATGGGGCGGGGTGATGGAAAGCGGGAGGATAGGGCAGGGTGATTGAAAGCGGTAGAACAGGGCAGGGTGATGGAAAGCGAGAGAATGGGGAAGGATGACGGAAAGCGGGAGAATGGGGCGGGGTGATGGAAGGAGGGAGAATGGGGCGGGATGATGGAAGGAGGGAGAATGGGGCGAGGTGTTGGAAAGCGAGAGAATAGGGGGCGGTGATGGAAAGCGGGAGAATGGGGCAGGGTGATGGAAAGCGGGAGAATGGGGCGAGTTGATGGAAAGCGGGAGAATGGGGCGGGGTGATGGAAAGCGGGAGAATGGGGCGGGGTGATGGAAAGCGGGAGAATGGGGCGGGGTGATGGAAAGCGGGAGAATGGGGCGGGGTGATGGAAAGCGGGAGAATGGTGCGAGGTGATGGAAAACGGGAGAATGGGGCGGGGTGATGGAAAGCGGGAGAATGGGCCGAGTTGATGGAAAGCGGGAGAATGGAGCGGGGTGATGGAAAGCGGGAGAATGGGGCGGGGTGATTGAAAGCAGGAGAATGGGGCAGGGTGATGGAAAGCGGGAGAATGGGGCAGGATGATGAAAAGCGGGAGAATGGGGCGGGGTGATGGAAAGCGGGAGAATGGGGCGAGTTGATGGAAAGCGGGAGAATGGAGCGGGGTGATGGAATGCGGGAGAATGGGGCGGGGTGATTGAAAGCGGGAGAATGGGGCGGGGTGATGGAAAGCGGGAGAATTGTGCAGGATGATGGAAAGCGGGAGAATGGGGCGGGGTGATGGAAGGAGGGAGAATGGGGCGGGGTGATGGAAAGCGGGAGAATGGGGCGGGGTGATGGAAAGCGGGAGAATGGGGCGGGGTGAAGGAAGAAGGGAGAATGGGGCGGGGTGATGGAAAGCGGGAGAATGGGGCGGGGTGATGGAAAGCGAGAGAATGGGGCGGTGTGGTGGAAAGCGGGAGAATGGGGTGGGGTGATGGAAAGCGGGAGAATGGGGCGGGGAGATGGAAAGCGAGAGAATTGGGCGGGGTGATGGAAAGCGGGAGAATGGGGCGGGGTGATGGAAAACGGGAGGATAGGGTGGGGTGATTGAAAGCGGTAGAATGGGGCGGGGTGATGGAAAGCGGGAGAATGGGGAAGGATGACGGAAAGCGGGAGAATGGGGTGGGATGATGGTAGGAGGGAGAATGGGGCGGGGTGATGGAAGGAGGGAGAATGGGGCGAGGAGATGGAAAGCGGGAGAATGGGGCGGGGTGATGGAAAGTGGGAGAATGGGGCGGGGTGATGGAAAACGGGAGAATGGGGCGGGGTGATGGAAAGCGGGAGAATGGGGCAAGTTGATGGAATGCGGGAGAATGGAGCGGGGTGATGGAAAGCGGGAGAATGGGGCGGGGTGATTGAAAGTGGGAGAATGGGGCTGGGTGATGGAAAGCGGGAGAATGGGGCAGGATGATGGAAAGCGGGAGAATGGGGCGGGGTGATGGAAAGCGGGAGAATGGGGTGGGGTGATGGAAAGCGGGAGAATGGGGCAGGGTGATGGAAAGCAGGAGAATGGGGCGGGGTGATGGAAAGCGGGAGAATGGGGCGGGGTGATGGAAAGCGGGAGAATGGGGCGAGTTGATGGAAAGCGGGAGAATGGGGCGGGGTGATGGAAAGCGGGAGAATGGGGCGGGGTGATTGAAAGCGGGAGAATGGGGCGGGGTGATGGAAAGCGGGAAAATGGGGCAGGATGATGGAAAGCGGGAGAGTGGGGCGGGGTGATGGAAGGAGGGAGAATGGGGCGGGGTGATGGAAAGCGGGAGAATGGGGCGGGGTGATGGAAGGAGGGAGAATGGGGCGGGGTGATGGAAAGCGGGAGAATGGGGCGGGGTGATGGAAAGCGGGAGAATGGGGCGGGGTGATGGAAAGCGGGAGAATGGGGCGGGGTGATGGAAAGCGGGAGAATGGGGCGGAGTGATGGAAAGCAGGAGAATGGGGCGGGGTGATGGAAAGCGGGAGAATGGGGCGGAGTGATGGAAAGCAGGAGAATGGGGCGGGGTGATGGAAAACGGGAGAATGGGGCGGGGTGATGGAAAGCGGGAGAATGGGGCGGAGTGATGGAAAGCGGGAGAATGGAGCGGGGTGATGGAAAGCGGGAGAATGGGGCGGGGTGATTGAAAGCAGGAGAATGGGGTAGGGTGATGGAAAGCGGGAGAATGGGGCAGGATGATGGAAAGCGGGAGAATGGGGCGGGGTGATGGAAAGCGGAAGAATGGGGTGGGGTGATGGAAAGCGGGAGAATGGGGCAGGGTGATGGAAAGCGGGAGAATGGGGCGGGGTGATGGAAGGAGGGAGAATTGGGCGAGTTGATGGAAAGCGGGAGAATGGAGCAAGGTGATGGAAAGCGGGAGAATGGGACAGGGTGATGGAAGGAGGGAGAATGGGGCGAGGTGATGGAAAGCGAGAGAATGGGGCGCGGTGATGGAAAGCGGGAGAATGGGGCGGGGTGATGGAAAGCGGGAGAATTGGGCGAGTTGATGGAAAGCGGGAGAATGGAGCAAGGTGATGGAAAGCGGGAGAATGGGACAGGGTGATGGAAGGAGGGAGAATGGGGCGAGGTGATGGAAAGCGAGAGAATGGGGCGCGGTGATGGAAAGCGGGAGAATGGGGCGGGGTGATGGAAAGCGGGAGAATGGGGCGGGGTGATGGAAGGAGGGAGAATGGGGCGGGGTAATGGAAAGCGGGAGAATGGGGCGGGGTGATGTGATGGAAAGCGAGAGAATGGGGCGGGGTGGTTGAAAGCGGGAGAATGGGGTAGGGTGATGGAAAGCGGGAGAATGGGGCGGGGTGATGGAAAGCGAGAGAATTGGGCGAGATGATGGAAAGCGGGAGAATGGGGCGGGGTGATGTGATGGAAAGCGAGAGAATGGGGCGGGGTGGTTGAAAGCGGGAGAATGGGGTAGGGTGATGGAAAGCGGGAGAATGGGGCGGGGTGATGGAATGCACGAGAATGGGGCGATGTGATGGAAAGCGGAAGAATGGGGCGGGGTGATGGAAAGCGGGAGGATAGGGCAGGGTGATTGAAAGCGGTAGAATAGGGCAGGGCGATGGAAAGCGAGAGAATGGGGAAGGATGACGGAAAGCGGGAGAATGGGGCGGGGTGATGGAAGGAGGGAGAATGGGGCGGGATGATGGAAGGAGGGAGAATGGGGCGAGGTGATGGAAAGCGAGAGAATAGGGCGCGGTGATGGAAAGCGGGAGAATGGGGCAGGGTGATGGAAAGCGGGAGAATGGGGCGAGTTGATGGAAAGCGGGAGAATAGAGCGGGGTGATGGAAAGCGGGAGAATGGGGCGGGGTGATTGAAAGCGGGAGAATGGGGCAGGATGATGGAAAGCGGGAGAATGGGGCGGGGTGATGGAAGGAGGGAGAATGGGGCGGGGTGATGGAAGGAGGGAGAATGGGGCGGGGTGATTGAAAGCGGGAGAATGGGGCAGGATGATGGAAAGCGGGAGAATGGGGCGGGGTGATGGAAGGAGGGAGAATGGGGCGGGGTGATGGAAGGAGGGAGAATGGGGCGGGGTGATGGAAAGCGGGAGAATGGGGCGGGGTGATGGAAAGCGGGAGAATGGGGCGGGGTGATGGAAAGCGGGAGAATGGGGCGGGGTGATGGAAAGCGGGAGAATGGGGCGGGGTGATGGAAAGCGGGAGAATGGGGCAGGGTGATGGAAAGCGGGAGAATGGGGCGGGGTGATGGAAAGCGGGAGAATGGGGCAGTGTGATGGAAAGCGGGAGAATGGGGCGGGGTGATGGAAAGCGCGAGAATGGGGCAGGGTGATGGAAAGCGGGAGAATGGGGCGGGGTGATGGAAAGCGGGAGAATGGGGCAGGGTGATGGAAAGCGGGAGAATGGGGCAGGGTGATGGAAAGAGGAGAATGGGGCGGGGTGATGGAAAGCGGGAGAATGGGGCGGGGTGATGGAAAGCGGGAGAATGGGGCGGGGTGATGGAAAGCGGGAGAATGGGGCGGGGTGATGTAAAGCGGGAGAATGGGGCGGGGTGATTGAAAGCGGGGGAATGGGGCGGGGAGATGGAAAGCGGGAGAATGGGGCAGGATGATGGAAAGCGGGAGAATGGGGCGGGGTGATGGAAGGAGGGAGAATGGGGCGGGGTGATGGAAAGCGGGAGAATGGGGCAGGGTGATGGAAAGCGGGAGAATGGGGCGGGGTGATGGAAAGCGGGAGAATGGGGCGGGGTGATGGAAAGCGGGAGAATGGGGCGGGGTGATTGAAAGCGGGAGAATGGGGCGAGGTGATGGAAAGCGGGAGAATGGGCCGAGTTGATGGAAAGCGGGAGAATGGAGCGGGGTGATGGAAAGCGGGAGAATGGGGCGGGGTGATTGAAAGCAGGAGAATGGGGCAGGGTGATGGAAAGCGGGAGAATGGGGCAGGATGATGGAAAGCGGGAGAATGGGGCGGGGTGATGGAAAGCGGGAGAATGGGGCGAGTTGATGGAAAGCGGGAGAATGGAGCGGGGTGATGGAATGCGGGAGAATGGTGCAGGATGATGGAAAGCGGGAGAATGGGGCGGGGTGATGGAAGGAGGGAGAATAGGGCGGGGTGATGGAAAGCGGGAGAATGGGGCGGGGTGATGGAAAGCGGGAGAATGGGGCGGGGTGAAGGAAGAAGGGAGAATGGGGCGGGGTGATGGAAAGCGGGAGAATGGGGCGGGGTGATGGAAAGCGAGAGAATGGGGCGGTGTGGTGGAAAGCGGGAGAATGGGGTGGGGTGATGGAAAGCGGGAGAAAGGGGCGGGGACATGGAAAGCGAGAGAATTGGGCGGGGTGATGGAAAGCGGGAGAATGGGGCGGGGTGATGGAAAGCACGAGAATGGGGCGAGGTGATGGAAAACTGGAGGATAGGGTGGGGTGATTGAAAGCGGTAGAATGGGGCGGGGTGATGGAAAGCGGGAGAATGGGGAAGGATGACGGAAAGCGGGAGAATGGGGTGGGATGATGGTAGGAGGGAGAATGGGGCGGGGTGATGGAAGGAGGGAGAATGGGGCGAGGTGATGGAAAGCGGGAGAATGGGGCAGGGTGATGGAAAGCGGGAGAATGGGGCGGGGTGATGGAAAACGGGAGAATGGGGCGGTGTGATGGAAAGGGGGAGAATGGGGCGAGTTGATGGAAAGCGGGAGAATGGAGCGGGGTGATGGAAAGCGGGAGAATGGGGCGGGGTGATGGAAAGCGGGAGAATGGGGCGGGGTGATGGAAAGCGGGAGAATGGGGCGGGGTGATGGAAAGCGGGAGAATGGGGCGGGGTGATGTAAAGCGGGAGAATGGGGCGGGGTGATTGAAAGCGGGAGAATGGGGCGGGGAGATGGAAAGCGGGAGAATGGGGCAGGATGATGGAAAGCGGGAGAATGGGGCGGGGTGATGGAAGGAGGGAGAATGGGGCGAGGTGATGGAAAGCGGGAGAATGGGGCGGGGTGATGGAAAGCGGGAGAATGGGGCGGGGTGATGGAAAGCGGGAGAATGGGGCGGGGTGATGGAAAGCGGGAGAATGGGGCGGGGTGATGGAAAGCGGGAGAATGGGGCGGAGTGATGGAAAGCAGGAGAATGGGGCGGGGTGATGGAAAGCGGGAGAATGGGGCGAGTTGATGGAAAGCGGGAGAATGGAGCGGGGTGATGGAAAGCGGGAGAATGGGGCGGGGTGATTGAAAGCGGGAGAATGGTGCAGGATGATGGAAAGCGGGAGAATGGGGCGGGGTGATGGAAGGAGGGAGAATGGGGCGGGGTGATGGAAAGCGGGAGAATGGGGCGGGGTGATGGAAAGCGGGAGAATGGGGCGGGGTGAAGGAAGAAGTGAGAATGGGGCGGGGTGATGGAAAGCGGGAGAATGGGGCGGGGTGATGGAAAGCGAGAGAATGGGGCGGGGTGGTGGAAAGCGGGAGAATGGGGTGGGGTGATGGAAAGCGGGAGAATGGGGCGGGGAGATGGAAAGCGAGAGAATTGGGCGGGATGATGGAAAGTGGGAGAATGGGGCGGGGTGATGGAAAGCACGAGAATGGGCCGAGGTGATGGAAAGCGGGAGAATGGGGCAGGGTGATGGAAAACGGGAGGATAGGGCGGGGTGATTGAAAGCGGTGGAATGGGGCGGGGTGATGGAAAGCGGGAGAATGGGGAAGGATGACGGAAAGCGGGAGAATGGGGTGGGGTGATGGTAGGTGGGAGAATGGGGCGGGGTGATGGAAGGAGGGAGAATGGGGCGAGGTGATGGAAAGCGGGAGAATGGGGCGGGGTGATGGAAAGCGGGAGAATGGGGCAAGGTGATGGAAAACGGGAGAATGGGGCAAGGTGATGGAAAGCGGGAGAATGGGCCGAGTTGATGGAAAGAGGGAGAATGGAGCGGGGTGATGGAAAGCGGGAGAATGGGGCGGGATGATTGAAAGCAGGAGAATGGGGCAGGATGATAGAAAGCGGGAGAATGGGGCGGGGTGATGGAAAGCGGGAGAATGGGGCGAGTTGATGGAAAGCGGGAGAATGGAGCGGGGTGATGGAATGCGGGAGAATGGGGCGGGGTGATTGAAAGCGGGAGAATGGGGCGGGGTGATGGAAAGCGGGAGAATGGTGCAGGATGATGGAAAGCGGGACAATGGGGCGGGGTGATGGAAGGAGGGAGAATTAGGCGGGGTGATGGAAAGCGGGAGAATGGGGCGGGGTGATGGAAAGCGGGAGAATGGGGCGGGGTGAAGGAAGAAGGGAGAATGGGGTGGGGTGATGGAAAGCGAGAGAATGGGGCGGTGTGGTGGAAAGCGGGAGAATGGGGTGGGGTGATGGAAAGCGGGAGAATGGGGCGGGGAGATGGAAAGCGAGAGAATTGGGCGGGGTGATGGAAAGCGGGAGAATGGGGCGGGGTGATGGAAAGCACGAGAATGGGGCGAGGTGATGGAAAGCGGGAGAATGGGGCGGGGTGGTGGAAAGCGGGAGAATGGGGAAGGATGACGGAAAGCGGGAGAATGGGGTGGGATGATGGTAGGAGGGAGAATGGGGCGGGGTGATGGAAGGAGGGAGAATGGGGCGAGGTGATGGAAAGCGGGAGAATGGGGCGGGGTGATGGAAAGCGGGAGAATGGGGCGGGGTGATGGAAAACGGGAGAATGGGGCGGGGTGATGGAAAGCGGGAGAATGGGGCGAGTTGATGGAAAGCGTGAGAATGGAGCGGGGTGATGGAAAGCGGGAGAATGGGGCGGGGTGATTGAAAGCAGGAGAATAGGGCAGGGTGATGGAAAGCGGGAGAATGGGGCAGGATGATGGAAAGCGGGAGAATGGGGCGGGGTGATGGAAAGCGGAAGAATGGGGTGGGGTGATGGAAAGCGGGAGAATGGGGCGGGGTGATGGAAAGCGGGAGAATGGGGCGGGGTGATGGAAAGCGGGAGAATGGGGCGAGTTGATGGAAAGCGGGAGAATGGAGCGGGGTGATGGAAAGCGGGAGAATGGGGCGGGGTGATGGAAAGCGGGAGAATGGGGCAAGTGATGGAAAGCGGGAGAATGGGGCGGGGTGATGGAAAGCGGGAGAATGGGGCGGGGTGATGGAAGTAGGGAGAATGGGGCGGGGTGATGGAAAGCGGGAGAATGGGGCGGTGTGATGGAAAGCGGGAGAATGGGGCGAGTTGATGGAAAGCGGGAGAATGGGGCGGGGTGATGGAAAGCGGGAGAATGGGGCGGGGTGATGGAAAGCGGGAGAATGGGGCGGGGTGATGGAAAGCGGGAGTATGGGGCGGGGTGATGGAAGGAGGGAGAACGGGGCGGGGTGATGGAAAGCGGGAGAATGGGGCGGGGTGATGGAAAGTGGGAGAATGGGGCGGGGTGAAGGAAGAAGGGAGAATGGGGCGGGGTGATGGAAAGGCGGAGAATGGGGCGAGTTGATGGAAAGCGGGAGAATGGAGCGGGGTGATGGAAAGCGGGAGAATGGGGCGGGGTGATGGAAAGCGGGAGAATGGTGCAGGATGATGGAAAGCGGGAGTATGGGGCGGGGTGATGGAAGGAGGGAGAATGGGGCGGGGTGATGGAAAGCGGGAGAATGGGGCGGGGTGATGGAAAGTGGGAGAATGGGGCGGGGTGAAGGAAGAAGGGAGAATGGGGCGGGGTGATGGAAAGCGGGATAATGGGGCGGGGTGATGGAAAGCGAGAGAATGGGGCGGGGTGGTGGAAAGCGGGAGAATGGGGCGGGGTGATGGAAAGCGGGAGAATGGGGCGGGGAGATGGAAAGCGAGAGAATTGGGCGGGGTGATGGAAAGCGGGAGAATGGGGCGGGGTGATGGAAAGCACGAGAATGGGGCGGGGTGATGGAAAACAGGAGGATAGGGCGGGGTGATTGAAAGCGGTAGAATGGGGCGGGGTGATGGAAAGCGGGAGAATGGGGAAGGATGACGGAAAGCGGGAGAATGGGGCGAGGTGATGGAAAGCGGGAGAATGGGCCGAGTTGATGGAAAGCGGGAGAATGGAGCGGGGTGATGGAAAGCGGGAGAATGGGGCGGGGTGATTGAAAGCAGGAGAATGGGGCAGGGTGATGGAAAGCGGGAGAATGGGGCAGGATGATGGAAAGCGGGAGAATGGGGTGGGGTGATGGAAAGCGGGAGAATGGGGCGAGTTGATGGAAAGCGGGAGAATGGAGCGGGGTGATGGAATGCGGGAGAATGGTGCAGGATGATGGAAAGCGGGAGAATGGGGCGGGGTGATGGAAGGAGGGAGAATAGGGCGGGGTGATGGAAAGCGGGAGAATGGGGCGGGGTGATGGAAAGCGGGAGAATGGGGCGGGGTGAAGGAAGAAGGGAGAATGGGGCGGGGTGATGGAAAGCGGGAGAATGGGGCGGGGTGATGGAAAGCGAGAGAATGGGGCGGTGTGGTGGAAAGCGGGAGAATGGGGTGGGGTGATGGAAAGCGGGAGAAAGGGGCGGGGACATGGAAAGCGAGAGAATTGGGCGGGGTGATGGAAAGCGGGAGAATGGGGCGGGGTGATGGAAAGCACGAGAATGGGGCGAGGTGATGGAAAACTGGAGAATGGGGCGGGGTGATGGAAAACGGGAGGATAGGGTGGGGTGATTGAAAGCGGTAGAATGGGGCGGGGTGATGGAAAGCGGGAGAATGGGGAAGGATGACGGAAAGCGGGAGAATGGGGTGGGATGATGGTAGGAGGGAGAATGGGGCGGGGTGATGGAAGGAGGGAGAATGGGGCGAGGTGATGGAAAGCGGGAGAATGGGGCAGGGTGATGGAAAGCGGGAGAATGGGGCGGGGAGATGGAAAGCGAGAGAATTGGGCGGGGTGATGGAAAGTGGGAGAATGGGGCGGGGTGATGGAAAGCACGAGAATGGGCCGAGGTGATGGAAAGCGGGAGAATGGGGCAGGGTGATGGAAAACGGGAGGATAGGGCGGGGTGATTGAAAGCGGTGGAATGGGGCGGGGTGATGGAAAGCGGGAGAATGGGGAAGGATGACGGAAAGCGGGAGAATGGGGTGGGGTGATGGTAGGTGGGAGAATGGGGCGGGGTGATGGAAGGAGGGAGAATGGGGCGAGGTGATGGAAAGCGGGAGAATGGGGCGGGGTGATGGAAAGCGGGAGAATGGGGCAAGGTGATGGAAAACGGGAGAATGGGGCAAGGTGATGGAAAGCGGGAGAATGGGCCGAGTTGATGGAAAGAGGGAGAATGGAGCGGGGTGATGGAAAGCGGGAGAATGGGGCGGGGTGATTGAAAGCAGGAGAATGGGGCAGGATGATAGAAAGCGGGAGAATGGGGCGGGGTGATGGAAAGCGGGAGAATGGGGCGAGTTGATGGAAAGCGGGAGAATGGAGCGGGGTGATGGAATGCGGGAGAATGGGGCGGGGTGATTGAAAGCGGGAGAATGGGGCGGGGTGATGGAAAGCGGGAGAATGGTGCAGGATGATGGAAAGCGGGACAATGGGGCGGGGTGATGGAAGGAGGGAGAATTAGGCGGGGTGATGGAAAGCGGGAGAATGGGGCGGGGTGATGGAAAGCGGGAGAATGGGGCGGGGTGAAGGAAGAAGGGAGAATGGGGTGGGGTGATGGAAAGCGAGAGAATGGGGCGGTGTGGTGGAAAGCGGGAGAATGGTGTGGGGTGATGGAAAGCGGGAGAATGGGGCGGGGAGATGGAAAGCGAGAGAATTGGGCGGGGTGATGGAAAGCGGGAGAATGGGGCGGGGTGATGGAAAGCACGAGAATGGGGCGAGGTGATGGAAAGCGGGAGAATGGGGCGGGGTGGTGGAAAGCGGGAGAATGGGGAAGGATGACGGAAAGCGGGAGAATGGGGTGGGATGATGGTAGGAGGGAGAATGGGGCGGGGTGATGGAAGGAGGGAGAATGGGGCGAGGTGATGGAAAGCGGGAGAATGGGGCGGGGTGATGGAAAGCGGGAGAATGGGGCGGGGTGATGGAAAACGGGAGAATGGGGCGGGGTGATGGAAAGCGGGAGAATGGGGCGAGTTGATAGAAAGCGTGAGAATGGAGCGGGGTGATGGAAAGCGGGAGAATGGGGCGGGGTGATTGAAAGCAGGAGAATAGGGCAGGGTGATGGAAAGCGGGAGAATGGGGCAGGATGATGGAAAGCGGAAGAATGGGGCGGGGTGATGGAAAGCGGAAGAATGGGGTGGGGTGATGGAAAGCGGGAGAATGGGGCGGGGTGATGGAAAGCGGGAGAATGGGGCGGGGTGATGGAAAGCGGGAGAATGGGGCGAGTTGATGGAAAGCGGGAGAATGGAGCGGGGTGATGGAAAGCGGGAGAATGGGGCGGGGTGATGGAAAGCGGGAGAATGGGGCAAGTGATGGAAAGCGGGAGAATGGGGCGGGGTGATGGAAAGCGGGAGAATGGGGCGGGATGATGGAAGTAGGGAGAATGGGGCGGGGTGATGGAAAGCGGGAGAATGGGGCGGTGTGATGGAAAGCGGGAGAATGGGGCGAGTTGATGGAAAGCGGGAGAATGGGGCGGGGTGATGGAAAGCGGGAGAATGGGGCGGGGTGATGGAAAGCGGGAGAATGGGGCGGGGTGATGGAAAGCGGGAGTATGGGGCGGGGTGATGGAAGGAGGGAGAACGGGGCGGGGTGATGGAAAGCGGGAGAATGGGGCGGGGTGATGGAAAGTGGGAGAATGGGGCGGGGTGAAGGAAGAAGGGAGAATGGGGCGGGGTGATGGAAAGGCGGAGAATGGGACGAGTTGATGGAAAGCGGGAGAATGGAGCGGGGTGATGGAAAGCGGGAGAATGGGGCGGGGTGATGGAAAGCGGGAGAATGGTGCAGGATGATGGAAAGCGGGAGTATGGGGCGGGGTGATGGAAGGAGGGAGAATGGGGCGGGGTGATGGAAAGCGGGAGAATGGGGCAGGGTGATGGAAAGTGGGAGAATGGGGCGGGGTGAAGGAAGAAGGGAGAATGGGGCGGGGTGATGGAAAGCGGGATAATGGGGCGGGGTGATGGAAAGCGAGAGAATGGGGCGGGGTGGTGGAAAGCGGGAGAATGGGGCGGGGTGATGGAAAGCGGGAGAATGGGGCGGGGAGATGGAAAGCGAGAGAATTGGGCGGGGTGATGGAAAGCGGGAGAATGGGGCGGGGTGATGGAAAGCACGAGAATGGGGCGGGGTGATGGAAAACAGGAGGATAGGGCGGGGTGATTGAAAGCGGTAGAATGGGGCGGGGTGATGGAAAGCGGGAGAATGGGGAAGGATGACGGAAAGCGGGAGAATGGGGCGGGGTGATGGAAGGAGGAAGAATGGGGCGGGGTGATGGAAGGAGGGAGAATAGGGCGAGGTGATGGAAAGCGGGAGAATGGGGCGGGGTGATGGAAAGCGGGAAAATGGGGCGGGGTGATGGAAAACGGGAGAATGGGGCGGGGTGATGGAAAGCGGGAGAATGGGGCGAGTTGATGGAAAGCGGAAGAATGGAGCAGGGTGATGGAAAGCGGGAGAATGGGGCGGGGTGTTTGAAAGCAGGAGAATGGGGCAGGGTGATGGAAAGCGGGAGAATGGGGCAGGATGATGGAAAGCGGGAGAATGGGGCGGGGTGATGGAAAGCGGAAGAATGGGGTGGGGTGATGGAAAGCGGGAGAATGGGGCAGGGTGATGGAAAGCGGGAGAATGGGGCGGGGTGATGGAAAGCGGGAAAATGGGGCGGGGTGATGGAAAGCGGGAGAATGGGGCGAGTTGATGGAAAGCGGGAGAATGGAGCAAGGTGGTGGAAAGCGGGAGAATGGGGCGGGGTGATTGAAAGCGGGAGAATGGGGCGGGGTGATGGAAAGCGGGAGAATGGGGCGGGGAGATGGAAAGCGAGAGAATTGTGCGGGGTGATGGAAAGCGGGAGAATGGGGCGGGGTGATGGAAAGCACGAGAATGGGGCGGGGTGATGGAAAACAGGAGGATAGGGCGGGGTGATTGAAAGCGGTAGAATGGGGCGGGGTGATGGAAAGCGGGAGAATGGGGAAGGATGACGGAAAGCGGGAGAATGGGGCTGGGTGATGGAAGGAGGAAGAATGGGGCGGGGTGATGGAAGGAGGGAGAATAGGGCGAGGTGATGGAAAGCGGGAGAATGGGGCGGGGTGATGGAAAGCGGGAAAATGGGGCGGGGTGATGGAAAACGGGAGAATGGGGCGGGGTGATGGAAAGCGGGAGAATGGGGCGAGTTGATGGAAAGCGGAAGAATGGGGCAGGGTGATGGAAAGCGGGAGAATGGGGCAGGATGATGGAAAGCGGGAGAATGGGGCGGGGTGATGGAAAGCGGAAGAATGGGGTGGGGTGATGGAAAGCGGGAGAATGGGGCAGGGTGATGGTGTGAAATCAAAGAACGAGAATGAATGAACTAGCAGTGAAATGAGTACAAGTAGGAAACCCTAGAATTGTGTACCCCCTATAGGCTAACCCACTGTAGCCTACACAAGCAGAACATATATAATGTTTGACACACCCCCATAGGCAAAGTGGGGGAGAACAAGGGGTCACAAGACCAGTCAAGCAAAGCAAAGCAAGCTCAGGGTGGATCACAAAGTCACCACACAGTCCGAGCACAAGAGCAGGGCCAGAGGCCAGTTCACATGCAGGAGTACAGACATATATATAAAACTAGACAAGCAAAAGCAGGTATATATATATGTCACAGTACAAGTGAAGTCAAGAGGAGAGCAAGTGAGGCAAGACAGGCACAAGACCCAGCTGGGTGCAAAAGCGCTGATGGTCACAAGGCGCGAGATACCATGTGAAATCAAAGAACCTGCTCTGATACCATGTGAAATCAAAGAACGAGAATGAATGAACTAGCAGTGAAATGAGTACAAGTAGGAAACCCTAGAATTGTGTACCCCCTATAGGCTAACCCACTGTAGCCTACACAAGCAGAACATATATAATGTTTGACAGATGGAAAGCGGGAGAATGGGGCGGGGTGATGGAAAGCGGGAGAATGGGGCGGGGTGATGGAAAGCGAGAGAATGGGGCGGGGTGGTGGAAAGCGGGAGAATGGGGTGGGGTGATGGAAAGCGGGAGAATGGGGCGAGTTGATGGAAAGCGGGAGAATGGAGAGGGGTGATGGAAAGCGGGAGAATGGGGCGGGGTGATTGAAAGCGGGAGAATGGGGCGGGGAGATGGAAAGCGGGAGAATGGGGCAGGATGATGGAAAGCGGGAGAATGGGGCGGGGTGATGGAAGGAGGGAGAATGGGGCGGGGTGATGGAAAGCGAGAGAATGGGGGGTGATGGAAAGCGGGAGAATGGGGCGGGGTGATGGAAAGCGGGAGAATGGGGCGGGGTGATGGAAAGCGGGAGAATGGGGCGGGGTGAAGGAAGGAGGGATGATGGGGCGGGGTGATGGAAAGCGGGAGAATGGGGCGGGGTGATGGAAAGCGAGAGAATTGGGCAGGGTGATAGAAAGCGGGAGAATGGGGCGGGGTGATGGAAAGCACGAGAATGGGGCGAGGTGATGGAAAGCGGGAGAATGGGGCGGGGTGATGGAAAGCGGGAGGATAGGGCGGGGTGATTGAAAGCGGTAGAATGGGGCGGGGTGATGGAAAGCGGGAAAATGGGGAAGGATGACGGAAAGCGGGAGAATGGGGCGGGGTGATGGAAGGAGGGAGAATGGGGCGAGGTGATGGAAAGCGGGAGAATGGGGCGGGGTGATGGAAAGCGGGAGAATGGGGCGGGGTGATGGAAAACGGGAGAATGGGGCGGGGTGATGGAAAGCGGGAGAATGGGGCGAGTTGATGGAAAGCGGCAGAATGTAGCGGGGTGATGGAAAGCGGGAGAATGGGGCGGGGTGATTGAAAGCAGGAGAATGGGACAGGGTGATGGAAAGCGGGAGAATGGGGCGGGGTGATGGAAGGAGGGAGAATGGGGCGGGGTGATGGAAAGCGGGAGAATGGTGCAGGATGATGGAAAGCGGGAGAATGGGGCGGGGTGATGGAAGGAGGGAGAATGGGGCGGGGTGATGGAAAGCGGGAGAATGGGGCGGGGTGATGGAAAGCGGGAGAATGGGGCGGGGTGATGGAAAGCGAGAGAATGGGGCGGTGTGGTGGAAAGCGGGAGAATGGGGTGGGGTGATGGAAAGCGGGAGAATGGGGCGGGGAGATGGAAAGCGAGAGAATTGGGCGGGGTGATGGAAAGCGGGAGAATGGGGCGGGGTGATGGAAAGCACGAGAATGGGGCGAGGTGATGGAAAGCGGGAGAATGGGGCGGCGTGATGGAAAACGGGAGGATAGGGTGGGGTGATTGAAAGCGGTAGAATGGGGCGGGGTGATGGAAAGCGAGAGAATTGGGCAGGGTGATAGAAAGCGGGAGAATGGGGCGGGGTGATGGAAAGCACGAGAATGGGGCGGGGTGGTGGAAAGCGGGAGAATGGGGCGGGGTGGTGGAAAGCGGGAGAGTGGGGCGGAGTGATGGAAAGCGGGAGAATGGGGCGGGGTGATGGAAAGAGGGAGAATGGGGCGGGGTGATGGAAAGCAGGAGAATGGGGCGGGGTGATGGAAAGAGGGAGAATGGGGCGAGGTGATGGAAAGCGGGAGAATGGCGCGGGGTGGTGGAAAGCGGGAGAATGGGGCGGGGTGATGGAAAGCGGGAGAATGGGGCGGGTGATGGAAAGCGGGAGAATGGGACGGGGTGATGGAAAGCGGGAGAATTGGGCGGGGTGATGGATAGAGGGAGAATGGGGCGGAGTGATGGAAAGAGGGAGAATGGGGCGGGGTGATGGAAAGAGGGAGAATGGGCAGGGTGATGGAAAGCGGGAGAATGGGGCGGGGTGATGGAAAGTGGGAGAATGGGGCGGGGTGATGGACAGCGGGAGAATGGGGAGGGGTGATGGAAAGCAGGAGAATGGGGCGAGGTGATGGAAAGAGGGAGAATGGGGCGGGGTGAAGGAAAGCGGGAGAATGGGGCGGGGTGATGGAAAGCGGGAGAATGGCGCGGGGTGATGGAAAGCGGGAGAATGGGGCGGGGTGATGGAAAGAGGGAGAATGGGGAGGGGTGATGGAAAGAGGGAGAATTGGGCGGGTTGATGGAAAGCGGGAGAATGGAGCGGGGTGATGGAAAGCGGGAGAATGGGGCGGGGTGATGGAAAGCGGGAGAATGGGGCGGGGTGATGGAAAGAGAGAAAATAGGGCGAGTTGATGGAAAGCGGGAGAATGGGGTGGTGTGATGGAAAGCGGGAGAATGGAGCGGGGTGATGGAAAGAGGGAGAATGGGGCGGGGTGATGGAAAGAGGGAGAATGGGGCGGGGTGATGGAAAGAGGGAGAATGGGGCGGGGTGATGGAAGGCGGGAGAATGGGGCGGGGTGATGCAAATCGGGAGAATGGGGTGGGGTGATGGAAAGCGGGAGAATGGGGCGGTGTGATGGAAAGCGGGAGAATGGGGCGGGGTGATGGAAGGCGGGAGAATGGGGCGGGGTGATGGAAAGCGGGAGAATGGGGCCGGGTGATAGAAAGCGGGAGAATGGGGCGGGATGATGGAAATCGAGAGAATTGGGCGAAGTGATGGAAAGCGGGAGAATGGGGCGGGGTGATGGAAAGCGGGAGAATGGGGCGGGGTGGTGGAAAGCGGGAGAATGGGGCGGGGTGGTGGAAAGCGGGAGAATGGGGCGGAGTGATGGAAAGCGGGAGAATGGGGCGGGGTGATGGAAAGAGGGAGAATGGGGCGGGGTGATGGAAAGCAGGAGAATGGGGCAGGGTGATGGAAAGAGGGAGAATGGGGCGGGGTGATGGAAAGCGGGAGAATGGCGCGGGGTGGTGGAAAGCGGGAGAATGGGGCGGGGTGATGGAAAGTGGGAGAATGGGGCGGGTGATGGAAAGCGGGAGAATGGGACGGGGTGATGGAAAGCGGGAGAATTGGGGCGGGGTGATGGAAAGCGGGAGAAAGGGGCAGGGTGATGGAAGGAGGGAGAAGGGGGCGGGGTGATGGAAAGCGGGAGAATGGGGCAGGGTGATGGAAAGCAGGAGAATGGGGCGGGGTGATGGAAGGCGAGAGAATGGGGCGGGGTGTTGGAAAGCGGGAGAATGGGGCAGGGTGATGAAAAGCGGGAGAATGGGGCGGGGTGATGGAAAGCAGGAGAATGGGGCGGGGTGATGGAAGGAGGGAGAATAAGGCGGGGTGATGGAAGGAGGGAGAATGGGGCGGGGTGATGGAAAGTGGGAGAATGGGTCGGGGTGATGGAAAGCGGGAGAATGGGGCGGAGTGATGGAAAGCGGGAGAATGGGGCGGGGTGATGGAAAGCAGGAGAATGGGGCGGGGGGATGGAAAGCGGGAGAATGGAGCGGGGTGATGGAAAGCGGGAGAATGGGGCGGGGTGATGGAAAGCGGGAGAATGGGGCGGGTGATGGAAAGCTGGTGAATGGGGCAGGGTGATGGAAAGCGGGAGAATGGGGCGGGGTGATGGAAAGCAGAAGATTGAGGCCGGGTGATGGAAAGCGGGAGAATGGGGCGACGTGATGGAAAGCGGGTGAATGGGGCAGGGTGATGGAAAGCGGGAGAATGGGGCGGGGTGATGGAAAGCAGAAGATTGAGGCGGAGTGATGGAAAGCGGGAGAATGGGGCGGGGTGATGGAAGGAGGGAGAATGGGGAGGGGTGATGGAAAGCGGGGAAAAGGGGCGGGATGATGGAAAGCGAGAGAATGGGGCGGGGTGATGGAAAGCGGGAGAATGGGGCAGGGAGATGGAAAGCGGGAGAAAGGGGCGGGGTGATGGAAAGCGGGAGAATGGGGCGGGCTGATGGAAGGAGGGAGAATGGGGCAGGGTGATGGAAGGAGAGAGAAGGGGGCGGGGTGATGGAAAGTGGGAAAATGTGGCGGGGTGATGGAAAGCGGGAGAATGGGGTGGGGTTATGGGAAGCGGGAGAATGGGGCAGGGTGATGGAAAGCGGGAGAATGGGGCGGGGTGATGGAATGAGGGAGAATGGGGCGGGGTGATGGAAGGAGGGAGAATGGGGCGGGGTGATGGAAAGCGGGAGAATGGGGCGGGGTGATGGAAGGAGGGAGAATGGGGCGGGGTGATGGAAAGCGGGAGAATGGGGCGGCGTGATGGAAAGCGGGAGAATGGGGCGGGGTGATGGAAAGCGAGAGAATGGGGCGGGGTGATGGAAGGAGGGAGAATGGGGAAGGGTGATGGAAAGCGGGGGAATGGGGCGAGATGATGGGAAGCGGAAGAATGGGGCGGGGTGATGGAAAGCGGGAGAATGGGGCAGGGTGATGGAAAGCGGGAGAATGGGGCGGGGAGATGGAAAGCGGGAGATAGGGGAGGGGTGATGGAACGCGGGAGAATGGGGCGGGGTGATGGAAAGCGGGAGAATGGGGCGGGCTGATGGAAGGCGGGAGAATGGGGCGGGGTGATGGAAGGAGGGAGAATGGGGCGGGGTGATGGTAGGAGAGAGAAAGGGGCGGGGTGATGGAAAGTGGGAGAATGTGGCGGGGTGATGGAAAGCTGGAGAATGGGGTGAGGTTATGGGAAGCGGGAGAATGAGGCGGGGTGATGGAAAGCGGGAGAATGGGGCGGGGTGATAGGAGGGAGAATGGGGCGGGGTGATGGAAGGAAGGATAATGGGGCGGAGTGATGGAAAGCGGGAGAATGGGGCGGGGTGATGGAAAGCGGGAGAATGGGGCGGGGTGATGGAAAGCGAGAGAATGGGGCGGGGTGATGGAAAGCGGGGGAATGGGGCGGGATGAAGGGAAGCAGAAGAATGGGGCGGGGTGATGGAAGGAGGGAGAATGGGGCGGGATGATGGAAAGCGGGAGAATGGGGCGGGGTGATGGAAAGCGGGAGAATGGGGCGGGGTGATGGAAATCGGGAGAATGGGGCGGGGTGATGGAAAGCGGGAGAATGGGGCGGGGTGATGGAAGGAGGGAGAATGGGGCGGGGTGATAGAAAGCGGGAGAATGTAGCGGGGTGATGGAAAGCGGGAGAATGGGATGGGGTTATGGGAAGCGGGAGAATGGGGCGGGGTGATGGAAAGCGGGAGAATGGGGCGGGGTGATGGAAGGAGGGAGAATGGGGCGGGGTGATGGAAAGCGGGAGAATGGGGCGGGGTGATGGAAGGAGGGAGAATGGGGCGGGGTGATGGAAGGAGGGAGAATGGGTTGGGGTGATGGAAAGCGAAGAATGGGGCGGAGTGATGGAAAGCGGGAGAATGGGGCTGGGTGATGGAAAGCAGGAGAATGGGGCGGGGTGATGGAAAGCGGGGGAATGGGGCGGGGTGATGGAAGGAGGGAGAATGGGGCGGGGTGATGGAAAGCGGGAGATTGGGGCAGGGTGATGGAAAGTGGGAGAATGGGGCGGGTTGATGGAAAGCGGAAAAATGGGGCGGGGTGATGGAAAGCGGGAGAATGGGGCGGGGTGATGGAAAGCGGGAGAATGGGGCGGGGTGATGGAAGGAGGGAGAATGAGGCGGGGTGATGGAAGGAGGGAGAATGGGGCGGGGTGATGGAAAGTGGGAAAATGGGTCGGGGTGATGGAAAGCGGAAGAATGGGGCGGAGTGATGGAAAGCGGGAGAATGGGGCGGGGTGATGGAAAGCGGGAGAATGGGGCGGGTGATGGAAAGCGGGTGAATGGGGCAGGGTGATGGAAAGCAGGAGAATGGGGCGAGGTGATGGAAAGCAAAAGAATGGGGCGGGGTGATGGAAAGTGGGAGAATGGGGCGAGGTGATGGAACGCGGGAGAATGGGGCAGGTGATGGAAAGCGGAAGAATGGGGCGGGGTGATGGAAGGAGGGAGAATGGGGCGGGGTGATGGAAGGAGAGAGAAGGGGGCGGGGTGATGGAAAGTGGGAAAATGTGGCGGGGTGATGGAAAGCGGGAGAATGGGGTGGGGTTATGGGAAGCGGGAGAATGGGGCGGGGTGATGGAAAGCGGGAGAATGGAGCGGGGTGATGGAATGAGGGAGAATGGGGCAGGGTGATGGAAGGAGGGAGAATGGGGCGGGGTGATAGAAAGCGGGAGAATGGGGCGGGGTGATGGAAGGAGGGAGAGTGGGGCGGGGTGGTGGAAGGAGGGAGAATGGGGAGGGGTGATGGAAAGCGGGGGAATGGGGCGGGATGATGGGAAGCGGAAGAATGGGGCGGGGTGATGGAAAGCGGGAGAATGGGGCGGGGTGATGGAAAGCGGGAGAATAAGGCGGGGAGATGGAAAGCGGGAGAAAGGGGAGGGGTGATGGAAAGCGGGAGAATGGGGCGGGCTGATGAAAAGCGGGAGAATGGGGCGGGGTGATGGAAGGAGGGAGAATGGGGCGGGTTGATGGAAGGAGAGAGAAGGGGGCGGGGTGATGGAATGCGGGAGAATGGGGCGGGGTGATGGAATGCGGGAGAATGGGGCGGGGTGATGGAAAGCGGGAGAATGGGGCGGGGTGATGGGAAGCGGGAGAATGGGGCGGGGTGATGGAAAGCGGGAGAATGGGGCGGGGTGATGGAAGGAGGGAGAATGAGGCGGGGTGATGGAAGGAGGGAGAATGGGGCGGGGTGATGGAAAGCGGGAGAATGGGGCGGGGTGATGGAAAGTTCGACAATAGGGCGAGGTGATGGAAAGCGGGAGAATGGGGCGGGGTGATGGAAAGCGGGAGAATGGGGCGGGGTGATGGAAAGCGGGAGTGGGGTGGGGTGATGGAAAGCGTGAGAATGGGGCGGAGTGATGGAAAGCGGGTGAATGGGGCGGGGTGATGGAGAGCGTGAGAATGGGGCGAGGTGATGGAAAGCGGGAGAATGGGGCGAGATGATGGAAAGCGGGAGATTGGGGCGGGGTGATGGAAAGAGGGAGAATAAGGCGGGGTGATGGAAAGAGGGAGAATAGGGCGGGGTGATGGAAAGAGGGAGAATAAGGCGGGGTGATGGAAAGAGGGAGAATGGGGCGGGGTGATGGAAAGAGGGAGAATAAGGCGTGGTGATGGAAAGAGGGAGAATGGGGCGGGGTGATGGAAAGAG